AAATACTAGTTGAAAAAAGAAATAAAATAACCCAATAATTCATGTCACTGCTATACCAAATTGGTTATTAGTTTTTATTTTGAGGAAATATTGCAAATTATAATAATTTTTAGGAATCCTTATTACTTTTTGTGCAGCTAATAAGCCCACCTGGGGCTACGACAATATTCAGCAGAATCAAAAAATTACCTTTTTAAATACAAGTAGCTATGAGAATGAAAAATAAATAAATTGCCACCAATTTTCACGAGCAAAACAAATAAATTAATAAGTTGTACAGTTGAACCACGTTCACATTTGAAATAAACTTTATAAAAAAGCAGAATAAATACAGTTTTTTTTTCTAAATCTATTGAAATTAGAATATACCATTAATGCACGACTAACATAATTTTCTGTAAATATGAACACAAATACGATGACATCTTTGAACATTCTCTCAAGAATTAAGGAAAGCAAAGTCGCTTGTTTAAAGATATAATTCCAACCAGGCATTTCTAAAGCCGACCCTGATCTTTTGAGTATCTAAGCAACCTCTAACCGCTGCACCGCTTACTATTATTCGGTTATCTCTTTTCACTCCTGATGAAGCATTTCCTAACTTAAGCAGGGCGTCTTCAGCAAAGCTAGTCAGAGACATATTAAAAACAAAAACAGGAGTTACGAGGAGTAGAGATAGACCTAGATTAGATTGCTGTTCACAAATAATTAAGGATCTACCGAGCGGCATGGCCTAGAGGTTTAGGCCATTGCTTAGCATTCGGGAGGACGCCGGTTCGATTCCGGGTCCGTTTACCTTGGTCCAAGTTTTCTGTGGTTTCCTTGGATCACTTAGGTAAATACTGAGGCAGTAATATTCCACAGATAATCTTTCATTCTCTTCTGTCTTCATTTCGTCCATCTCATCTTTCTCACCCGAACCTCCATCAACTATTCCCACGATTCCTGAAAGCAGACTGAAGAGGGCCTTCCGCCCTACCTTCCGGCGTAGTCTGGAGGGACTGCTCACCCACCAGCATTACTGGCTGGTGGGAATGAAGCACCCAAAAGTTTTTTTGACGTGACAACGTCTTATAATTCGATGGACTGCTGCACGCACGAAAAAATATGACTCATGCGTCGTTACCTCGCTCTGAGCTGCTCTGAGGCGTTCCATTTAAGACTTGAAGTGCAAGCGAGAGCGCGAAACGAGCGACAAAGAGGCACAATCGGCCTCCGCGTTCGGCAGCGTTCGACATCTGTCTCTTTCCTACTTGAGTGAGCGATGGGTCCGCGTGGACAGCTGCTATACAATAATACATTTACATGTTTTCGTCAAGTATGAAGTGCAGTGAAAAGTGAATGTGGTGTCAATTGTTTATAGCAACGATAATTGCGGCGACAAAGGTAATGATTCTTTCGATATTAAATACATGTTCAGTGATATATTGTCGAATTGAAGCTAGAGTTACAAAAATTTTAATGATGTTTAAAAGTTGTTAATGAAAGTTGTAAAACAATTGCTCAAAGCACATTCATACTTGTAAAAACTATGTACATTGGAAAAAAAATAAATAAAAATTGACATAATTGTATTTATGCGTACAAATAAATGTAACTTGATCAATTCAATTGTGATTTCCATTTACCTCCTTCTCTATATCCATACAAAATATCTATCAAATCTTTTGAAAAATGTAACCATTCCATCAGTATTTTCTTATGACGTTGTCACGTTCAACTATCGTCAGTAAACCGACCTTACAGACAACCGATTTTTTTTTATTAAGGATGTATAATGTTCTAACTTTAGGGAAATTCGAAGATTAGCTCAGGATAGGAAGAAGAGGAGGTGCGTGTCTAACCGTTCGTGGAACTGTTGATGCCGTATGATGATGATAAAAACAAACCCTCATTATATTACCGGCATTCTTTAATTTCAATACAAAATTCAATTATCTGAAATTATATGTATGTATTTTATATTGTGTCCTTAATTTTTAATGAAACGGATAATTTTATTTACGGTCGTCAATTGGTTTTCGAACACCATAAAATTCGCAATTTCGTGAGCGCACCTGCTGGTTATCATATCGATCGAGTGTTGTAACGATCAGTTGGTTATTTTGTGGTTCAGTTTAAGGGAATTAAGGTTTATTTTATGGTACCGGACTTTATATGAAAACCTTTATCATATTCCGTAACGTTATTAACCTGCCGTACAAATAATTACCTACATATTAATAGTCTCATAATAATTAATGTTTTATTGAAAAAATTAACAGCTGCGACACATAAATACGGACATCAACGAATTAAAATGTAATCGTTAAGTTTAAAAGACGATCCAGTTGTTAAAATATTAACTGAAATATAGCTGATGCTGGTGATGCATCCATGAACGATAGGCAACAGGATCATTATTTGAAATTGTTTGATAAATATCAGATACCAAACATTAATGCTGATTTTCTTTTTATTCTACATTTTCTATACTTTGTTTTCTTAGTTTTTCTATTATTATTTTTAATTCTACTGTTGGTGATGAACAAAGCTGACTCAGTCTTGGTCTTGTTTTCTCGGTCTTGGTCTTAGTCTTAGTCTTGCTGATATAATCTCAGTCTTGATTTTGCTGATATAGTCTCAGTCTTGATCTTGCTTATATACTCGCGGTTTTGATCTTGTTAATATAATCTCGCTCTTGATCTTGCTAATATAATCTCAGTCTTGATCTTGCTGATATAGTATCTATCTTGATCTTGCTGAGACAATCTCGGTTTTGCTCTTGCTGATATAGCCTCGCTCTTGATCTTGCTGATATACTCTCTTTCTTGATCTTGCTAATATAGTCTTAGTTTTGATCTTGCAGATGTAGTCTCTACCTTGATCTTGCAGATATAGTCTCTATCTTGATTTTGCCGATAAAGCCTCGCTACTGATCTTGCTGATATACTCTCGTTCTTGATCTTGCTAATATAGTCTTAGTCTTGATCTTGCAGATATAGTCTCTATCTTGATCTTGCAGATATAGTCTCTATCTTGATCTTGCCGATAAAGCCTCGCTATTGATCTTGCTGATATAGTCACAGTCTTGATTTTGCTGATATAGTTTCGATCTTCATCTTGCTGATATAGTCTCGGTTTTGATCTTGCTGATATAGCCTCGCTCTTGATCTTGCTCATAATGTCTCGATCTTGATCTTGCTGCCATAGTCTCAGTGTTAATCTTACTAATATAATCTCAGTCTTGATCTTGCTGATATAGTATCTATCTTGATCTTGCTGAGACAATCTCGGTTGTGCTCTTGCTGATATAGCCTCGCTCTTGATCTTGCTGATATACGCTCGTTCTTGATCTTGTTAATATAGTCTTAGTCTTGATCTTGCTGATATAGTCTCTATTTTGATATTGCCGATATAGCCTCGCTCTTGATGTTGCTGATATAACCCCGATCTTAATCTTGCTGATATAGTGTCTATCTTAATCTTGCTGATATAGCCTCGTTCTTGATATTGCTGATATAGCCTCGCTCTTGATCTTGCTGATATAGTCTCTATTTTGATCTTGCTGATATAGCCTCGCTCTTGATCGCTGATATAGCCTCGCTCTTGATGTTGCTAATATAGTCTCAGTCTTGATTTTGCTGATATAGCCTCGCTCTTGATCTTGCTGATATAGTCTCTATTTTGATCTTGCTGATATAGCCTCGCTCTTGATCATGCTGATATAGCCTCGCTCTTGATGTTGCTAATATAGTCTCAGTCTTGATTTTGCTGGTATAGTGTTAGTCTTGATTTTGCTGATATAGTCTCAGTCTTGATCTTGCGTGTTCTAAACATAAATCTTTCGATTTACCGACACAACAACTCATATATGCGAGCTTGTCATGACTTCAAGAAAATAGTGTCGATAGTTGTGACAGTTATGAAAACTCGAGAACTTAACCTTTCTCCTGTGTGTAAATTCACCCTTCCTTCGACGCATAAATTGACCTTTTAGAGAACAAAATAGTACAATTACAAAGTACTTGAAAGAGGCAACAAATATCGAATAAAAATTAGTTTGTCTCTATATTTCAACTATATGTTATCCAGACATAGGAACAAAGAACACTTATCCAGAGGGCATTCTTCGAAGTATTAAAAGTGTTTTATTCCGAGAAAAGAATAAGTTGCTTCGAATAGTTTAAGTCAACTCAATCCACCGGAACTAGTAATTTTTAATTTAGTCTTGCGTAATTGGTATTGGTGTACCATAATCGGTCTTGGTTCTAATCTTGGTTTGGTTCGTTCGGTCTTGGTTTTACTCTTGGTCTTGTTTGTTAGGTGTTGGTCTTGCTCTTGTTTGATAGATGTTGGTCTTGGGCTTACTAGTATAAAGACAGTCTTAGTCTTGCAATTTTGTTCATCACTAACTGTAAGCGCATACTTATGACTACTATTAATGTTACCACGTTGCAACGTAGTGTTACCTTTTTAAATTAAGCAAAATTTTATTAACATATCATTTGGAAAAATTTTGTTCTACAAAATGTATAGTATAATTTACAACGTTTTAGCTTTAGAAAAACCACTCGTCTAGGACGAAACGTTTGAGTTGGTTTTGCAGGTAATCATTAAAAGAGAAAAAAATTGTAATGTGAAATAAATATTTAAATAATTTTAGTAAAATATTTGTTCCGTTTCTTACGAAATAATCAGCATTTTCTTTTGAATTTCAATTCTATATGTAGTTTTCGTTTCCCTTTCTAAATAAAAACGTTTTGACTCATTTTTGCGTAGAGATTTAAAAATAAAACTTTTAGTACGTTTCTTCACCAACTGTAGCGGTCTGTAAGTTATTCAATTTTTTGTAGTATTCTTTAAAGAAATGAATTAAAACTGGACGGGAGACACCTCTCATATGGTAGTAAAGTTATAGTGCGAGGGAAGGGATAGTGTATTGGATGGGGATGACGAGGTTCATCGATTTATAAGAAAGACTATAAGACGTGAGATGCCTGGGAGAATAGCGACGGCATGGTCGGTCCACTCCCTAATTAAGATTTCTTTTAAAAACTACCAAAGTGGAAGTAAATTTCCAAAAATATTATAAAATCAGTTTCGTCTACCCCAATCCAGAAAGATGTTACATGTGAGCAGAAAGCGTTCCAACAATAACAAGATTACAGTGGCTTTGGTGTCAGGTCAGACATTTTATTTTAATTTACCATTTTGTTTTTCGTTTGCTATTAATTAACACATTGAAGAATTCAACAATTTACTTAATTAGTACTGAGAATGTGAAGATAAACTCGTACATAATAAATATATTTAGTTAATTTCTTAATTATTGCTCATCTAGGCATTATTAACTGTTGCATCAGCGGTATTAATCATTCAGATTAATAAAATTAATAATAATAATAATAATCAGCATGTTTTCACTTACTCAAAGTTAACCAGTGAAAACTGAGAAGACCAGATAATAATAATAAATAATTCCATAAAATTTCCTACTCGAAATTTCGAATATTTTATTCGGTTCGATTCGTATCAAGCATTATTCCCACAATCCTATAATCTGGTTATTTCAAGGATAGAATGAATATAAATACAGTCGCCCTCTATGCACACGTGATTGCCGAAAAATGAAAAATCGAACAGGACCGTATTAAAGCTAAAATTACAAAACAATATTTAACAAGCATTAAAAATACTCCCATTATCAGTGTAATAATTTAGCACAATAGGAAACATCTAAAAACCGAATAGAGCAGCGAAATGTTAATAAAGTCGAATTGCCACTTAAATAACCAGGAAATTTCGGTCATCACCTCCAGATTGACTAATACCATTTGCTTATCGGTGATAACGCGTCCGTATCTTGAAAGTAACTAAACTACAGTCGGTGGCCAACCCAAATGATCTAAGGGTCATTTTGGAAATAAATCATAACTGCGGGTCGCATCAAAACTGATATACTTACCTCCATATTCGTCATATTCACAAAAATATTATTTTAAAATTAGAGTTAATTTTCTTTCATACCTAATTTTCTAATATATAACTGACTACCTTGGTCATTATAATCATCATCATCATTATAGGGTCGTCAGTCCTGAGACTGGTTAGACACGTACCTCCACTCTTTCCTATTCTGAGCTAATCTTCCCATTTCCCTAAAACTAAATCATTCCAAATCCTTAACTGTTGGTTAGCAGTAATCTAATCTAGGTCTACCTCTGCTCCTTTTAAGTCCTATTTCTGTATCTTCCGGTATCCTTATCATTCGCCTGTAGCACTACATTTCGAACACTTCTAACCTTTTCCGCCGCGCCCACCGTCCATGATTCGCTCCCGCACAACACTATGCTCCAGACCTTTAACAATCCTTTTCAAATTTCTAAATTAACCATTTGCGAGCATAGAAGTGACTTATTTTTGTTAAAAGCGACTCTACCCTACGCTATCATGTAAAACTATGATAAATCTCGTGGGTAGGAAATATGTTATTGAAGAGCGAGTTGACCACCCCTGGTCTAGAATATTAGGAAGATCCGTACGTGGTGGTATACCTAAATTCAGAGCGACATGAAAAGATTAAGCATAGTAGCCGACACCTTCTTCCCTTTGAGCTTCATTGAAGGGGCTGCTGTAATTTTTGTCATTGTTTCGAACCATTTGGAATTCACTAAAATCTTTTGACCACTACAATTTTTAATCAGGTGAAGCTACACTGCTCATTAAGCTATCAATCAACACTTCTGATTGTCTCTTTACATATATGAAGGAGCTTTTCCTGGCTGACTGCTGATCAAGTATTGGAGCGAAATTTGAATTGACAGCATTTTCTGACTATTACATGGAAGCACACTAAGAACGGATTTTACGAAAGTCACATTCATTAATGATTGAGAACAAAAACGAAATTGAAATCATTCGAATGATAACGAAATTTTATGACGTATTATTTCCGGTTTGTACCGAGATTATTCAGTGGCGATCAGATTGACAAGGTAGGCAAGCGGAGACTTTTGGCAATATGGTTCAGTGGCGCTTAGAAAGCTACTCCGTAAATTCTTCATGTCTCAAAAGGTATCCTACTATGCTACCTCTAACTTTCCCTATTAATGTCCATCACACATGTGGAATATTCTCCTATTCTTTCCACAATACCTCCTCATTTATAAACTTTTCCATAAACCACCGGTATTTTCATAATTGTACTTTATTTGTAATTTGAAGGATTTTTGAATGTTTTCTCTGAGAAAAGCCTATTGGTATTAGATACATTACTTTGAAGTAAATCTTTAAGTGGTAGAGGTTACTTATAGAAATACCCACTGCTATTATTTTTCATTTATCGTGTATTTACAACAATTAGAAGTTGTAAAAGTAATAGAAGAAAAAGGTTTCCTGTGACGAGGGGGCCAAGCCCTCCAGCTTAAGACTCGGAGTGTGCCCATTGCCATGTAGTTTACCTTGAAGGTTGTCGCAACAAGCCATTTCGAGAGTACAGGAAACAATAACGTGGCCGTATACTACATATGTATGTGTGTGTGTGTGTGTATACACTTTCTGTTATTTCTTGATTTACAGTCAAACGTATGAGTATGCATCTGCGAGACATATGGCATGTCCCGATTGTTTTTGAGGCAATGACGCTGCGCCAGGCTCACCGTGAGTTGCCGAATTAGACTAAACCGATAAAAGCCATTGCTTGAAGGGACCATTTGTGATTACCGAACTTGAGCATTAAAAAAAATTTTTTTCCCACTAGTTACTAGTGTACGTGGGCGAGCAGTATTGTTGTTGAAACGTCTATTTACGGTGGTACCCTCGATAATAACTCGACGAGAGTTTGATTTTATTAATAATGAGGGAATCAGTGAAATATTGCAATATCAGTATCTAATCACTCACCATGCTTTTGTAATTTCCCTTTTCGATTAGAAGTTCTCGACTTGGAGTTGAAGTTCTGAAAAAAAAAAATTTATCAGACACAATAAGACTAAAAGACTTTGCTACAATAGAAAACAGATGATAACTAAAGGTAATCATGTGTCTATTGAATTTCTTTTAATCAAATCCATTTGAATAATGCAGCTTTTGAGAATCCTTGAAACAAGATTGATAATAACCATCAGAATTTCACATATGTAGTTACATAGAGGATGTTCGTAAGTCTTCTAGCCGCCTGTTTGTGTCAATGTCGACGCATGCAAATTGGAAATAATCTAAAGGAAGGAGAAGAGAGACAGAGCAAACGCCGACAGTGATTCTAATCCAGGCTTTGTCACTATTACACGCCGATACATCAGCGTCCCGTGACAGCTTTTCACCTTAATTAGAGCAGATTACAGTGAATAAGATGCAAATTCTATTCCCGGACCGTTTCTCTCCTTGTGGCTTCGTACGCAGACGGGACGTTTAAACGCAGTCGATAAACTAATTGTTTGCAAGGATTAGGATCGACCGAGCAATAAATTCGTTCATCCCCGCCGTGAAAACAAATAAATTGCAATAAGGAGAGATTTGCCAATTGACGTTTCTCAACTTTTAGTCTTTCTTTACGACTTAATGAATCTGTAACACCTCATCAACGAAACTTTCTGTTAAATGAAGAAGAGAACATCTTCTATGAAACTATACGTACAATTTGAAGAAAGTTAGTCAATACTGAGAATTTTATGTTTCCACATGAAGCAATAATTATTTCCTTACACTCTATTTTCTTTTTCAGTTTCTGGAATGAGTTGCGCCACCTCGCGGCCGTTCCCTCCAATATCACCCCTTATATCTTCAACAAGGATAATGATCAATACGATCCTAAAATTGCGTCAACGGTGCTACAAGGTTCGGCAACAAGAGTTCGGCTTCCTGACGCTTGGTGGCGCTTGACGATGTTTTGCTTCCACATTACTACTTATCACGCACTCTTCCACCACCATCCCCCCTCTAGTTGTGTGCTAAGCTACCGCTGTTCCCCTCTGCTTAATGCAATAATAGGCGTGGTGAAGAATTGCAAATTTTTTCAGGGGTTTCCTCCGGTAAGGCGGAGTTTGAAAAAATGTGCAGCGCATTATGGAGGTAGTCGACGACGCCGGGCGGAGCAGTTACAGATGCGCATGCCGGAAATTGTTCGGCGTCGCGATGGAAGGGAAAAACGATGCATCGCGACAAAAGTGACGATAACGATAAATAAGTACGCGAATATGAAAACCGCAACACACAATCAGGGAAACTGCCCAAGTATTACTTTTTCGTCATGTGCCTGGCGTTGTTACGTACACAGAAAATTGTAAAAGTGGTGGAAATAACGGCCACATGGCCCTGAAGACCGCTTTGTGGCCGATTGAATACCTTACGTTGGAAAGAGTTATAAGTGGGCTACCTGCGTGAAAGAAAGTATTTGTAATATATTCCATAAGACATCCACGCAGGTTCTTTTCTAAAATTTTGTAGGTAGTAGCCAGTGATGCCGAATCCCCTCCCGCTCACTTCTTGATCCCCACCAATTTCTTGAATCGCTGACACGCAAGTCTGTGGCTAGCGACGCCGCGCCGTAACACAACTCAAGACATCAGTCGAAATTCCAACGTTATAGTGTGGGCTGAACCGCGCAACTTGCAGCACATGCGACACTAGTGGTTACTGCAATTGACTAGTGGATCTGTTTGTGTTTTTTTCGTCAGTGAGTTAGTTGTGCTTCAGTCAGATGGACTCAATCATTAAGTACTCTTGGATTTTTCCTTCAAGAGCCATAAACATTTTAAGTGATTCGTTATAACTGACGCTCTATTATAGACATTGTATCGTCTATTTTGTGATGTGAAGTGAATACGAGTCTTCATCCGCAATGTGTTCTCCAAATCACTCGTGACAACATAAATTCAAAATCAAAAAATCAGGTAATGTTTGTTGGACCTGCAACATATTCTGTTGTATGACTTCGTTAAGCGCACCTAAAAGCTCATTCATCTCTTCATGTCACCTGTAGGGTAATAGATCGGCGTAAGAATCCTTTTACTTTCACAAACTCGAATCTCACCCATTAGATTGAGACAAATCCTTTATACAAGGTAACGCTCTTAACGGGAATCGTCCCTTGGTGGGCAGGCATCCAAGTGGATATGTAATGTGTTCGGCCATGTGTCGGTCACGAATGCTAGGGTGCGGTCAGAGATCGGTTTAAATTTCAGCTTAGACGCTGCCACATCATCCTGTCGGGCGGTGCACGAACCAGATTTTTTAGCCGAAGCAGGTTTCGACCAACGATTCTAACCAGTTCCGAAAATGGAATTAAAATTATTTTTCTGCTGCTCTTTCTTGGCTGACGGAGTTTTTTCGGCGGTCTGAACCTGCCGCGCGGCAGCAACGACAAAGCAGCAGCAGCAGCTTTCCTTTCCGGTTGAGAATCGAAGACCAAGTTCTGTTCTAAATTTGGACCTGTTCTTTTATTCACCCACTTACGTATTATACCGTTTCTTTAGAGCCGTTTTATCAGCATCTGAATCTTCTCGAATGTCAGTACTGTCTTTCAAGGCGAGACGGTTTCTTCTTTTTGACTTCTACCTGCTATTATCAAAAATTCGACATAATGTTTTTGAAAGTTGAAAAACTGTTTTTCAACGTTGTTCCATGAATTTAAACCCTACACCAAACACTATATCCCAAATTAGCAGTTTCAAGAAATGCTCATTTCTATCAATCATGTCCAGGAGTGAGAAGTAACTACTGACTTCTGGACGTTCACCTATTGCTCATAGACTTTTGAAAATTCGTTCGTCTTAAAACTAAGACCTTTGTGTGAAAAGTGGCTAATTGAAGGAGTGGAGTTGAAGCATTTTCTGTTAGTGATGTTTGCGAACTCCACGAGAGACGGAATCGTAAGTTAACAATCAGTATTATTAAAATAAACGCTGCATTATTGTTCGCCCGACCAAAGGTATCATAATTCAGTGTATTAAGAGGTCCCCTTTCATCATCATTTTTTAAACATCATTCCACTATACCTGGCATGAAAGGGTTTGGCTTTTTGCATAGTTCAGTACACTTTACTTTGTGTGCACAATTCGGTCATATGCATAATGTCCCGCTGGCTTTTAAGACCCAGGAGATGAATAATTTCCTTAGTTGAACCCAGGTTCCCATAGAACGCTACCTGCGGCGTTATCCGCGTCCAAACAGTCCTTTTGAAATCTTTATGTATGTAAATGTTTCCTCTCTGACACGACTTTTACGACATAAGGAGATTATTTATGAAGTTATTTACCGAAGGACGAGCGGAGCTACATTTAGAATTGTCGACTCTCCTCGTGCCAGGCGATAAATACACGTGTACCTTTTAGTGTAAACCTATTTTGGTGAGTTACTAAAACAAAAGTGTGTTTATGCTATTAATGTACATATTTGAAGATGTATTTTTGAAAACTAAATAATATACGTACTCCTTTATGGTTATAACTTCTTATTTTTTATGTATCAGTAATGAATTCTTCCTTTCAATTTTGGATGAGATATTCACTCCCAATGAAGTTAAATTGAACAAGAATGACGAAAGGTTTTTCCTTCAGCAGGAAGAATTCAAATAAGGATTCTTTATGTGGTTTAAGGCTTCTTCCTTACCTTTTGAATCTGTAACCGCTGCTAAATCATTTAAAGAATCATATTTGCTTCATTTCAAAAAATATCCATGAGTTAGACTTCTATTGAAGGTAGTGTACTTTTAGAATTGACTATGTACCCCTCCTGTTAAATCTACATTCACCTTTGTAGCTTTGACTCTATCATCTTGAACATGTTATAACACATGATTCAATGGGCGATTGTTAAAAGTTGCTGTATATATTCTTTGTGTGGTGTCTCGCGTATGATGCAAGGTCTTATTGTGAAGCATCCCCTCATCTTAGGATATTATAGAAATCTACCTGTGAAATGTCATTGTTATTGCTGAAACCGATCCTTCGGTATTGATATTTGGCTCATAGTCATCGAGCCAGGTAATAGAGTCCAAAGAATGACAGCGCACCTGCACCTGTCGCAACTAATAGTATTATTTAACTTAATAACCGTGTCTCTATAATGCCTATTATTACGGGTTTAGATTTAAAAGATAGACTACTTTGTAAGTGTCTTTCATTCACAGACTTGCTATTAAAAAATGCCTCTAACGATTGATATAAATTCCTTAAAAAGTTCCAGTCTTCGCAGCAGGAAAATAACATTTTTAGGTACCATTCAATATAAAATGATAATTATTTGATAAAATTCCGTTATGTGCACGTACGACGATGTTCTATTGTCCTTTGGAAACGTTACTTAGCAAAAATTTTCCCATAGTAAAATGATCACCCGTCGGAATGGATCTAAATGTATGCATCGAGCCGGCTGAAGAGAATAAGGATGAAAAATTACTTTTAACCCTTTCCGAAAAGGGTTCATACAGTAGTGAATGTGTATGCATAAAAACGCATCGTTTGCATATTTTTCTTTAAAACGGGCCTACCCCTCGCTCTTTCTCACATTTAATACTGTGTGCCATGTAAGCCAGGTCTAAAACACCTTTATGCAAAAATGCTTCTGATCTTATCCCATACTTTGGCACAAAGAGGAATAACGTTACATACCAACAGATATTTTGATAAATAGTTTGCACAGTGAAATGGAGAGGTGTGAATTCTGCTTAAAAATAATTTACTATAAGAAGAATAGAAAACGTAGTTAATGTTTTTTATCGGGTTCAAAAATGTTTTTAAAAATCAGTGAAAACTGGGTTTATGTTTAGTGCGCCGCGGTCAAGTGATTATGTAAGTGACCGGCGAAATGCGCGAGGACAGTTAATTTGCTTTGGTCCAGTTCCTGCCTACGAGTGTTTTGGTGTTTTTATTGTATAACCAATAAACGCCAGTTTGATGGATTACATCAGGTTATGATTGTCTAAATGTAGTTTATTTTTGCTCTTTTTACTAAAAATATACCTTCACTTTTAATAGTTTAATTTCAAAATCGCCCATTGTCATTTATAAGAACTTTGAAGGATAAATAGACACAATGTAATAATAAAGAATTATAAGTACGTATAATGAATTATACTGGACACCTAATTGACCTTACGCACCAAGTGTAATAACCGGCGCGCAGTTGACCTAAAAGATTCGACTACCTGAAGCTTCTATGACTATGGCATCGGATGCCTTAAGATTTAGATCTTTAAAGAACTTTATTTTGCAAGGACATTACTCGATTATTCCTCTGATTCCTTTCAACCCATACAACTGGTCTAATGAGTATTATGGACATGTAAAAATTTACCTCGTGTGTAGGTATAGGAATAACATGAAGAAAGAGTCATTATATATTGTGTATCTTCACTGCAAGCAGGAATGTGTGGAAGTGAAGAAGACGCCAAAGTCAAAAGGCGTCGAAAAGGCTTGCAATATTGAAATCTACTTTTCCAAATAAAAAATTAATAATTTAGATACTCTCTGTTAGCATATACCTTGAAATTTGGTTTACGGAGCTATTGAGGTAGAAGAGGCTAATGTTTTTGTAGACACGGCCCTGCCTCCAGGATTTCGTTACGATTGCATTCGTTAAATCGATAGTCCTTTGTGGAATTCAAGTGTTGGAGGATTATGTTTTCATATTTGACCAGCATTAATATTACGTATACATGGGTTCATATAGAGGCAAAGTTTGGTGCGCGCATTAGTAATCCCAATTTAAAATTGTAACTACCGCTCTGTTGCCCGCAAGTCATTGACATCGGACGATGTTTACGAGTTTCATACGTGTTAACGTGATGATCCAGCAATTTAGCATTGCCCACTGCTTTAATTTTCGTCGTGCCGAGTCACAAGCACCGTGAACAACAAAAAGTGCATGAAAAAGTCCAGGTTCATGGCCCGAATTTAATTCAGCGTGGCGAGGTGTTTTCTTTTTTTTTTTACGTTTTTTTATGTTTCAATCCTCCCGTCCACGTTCGAAAATAGAGGGGAGAACTTTGTAAAGATTCATCCGATCGACTTATATCTCACCTTTCAAGTAATAAAATAAGAAATAGACGAGATAAGTTGGTAGGGCACTTTCTGAGGAGTTGAAAGAAGTAGAGATAGACCTAGATCAGATTATTGTTCACAAACAGTTAAGGATGTGGAATATTATAGTTTTAGGGAAATACAAACATTAGCTGAGGATAGGAAAGAGTGGGGGGTGCACGTCCAACCACAGTCTTAGGACTGACGACCTTATGATGATGATGGATGAAGTACCCAGGTTAGAAGCGTTCAAAATAAGGTGTTACAAGCGATTGATGAGGATACCGTTAGAAATGAAGAGGTATTAAAAATAAGAGTAGGAGAACGGAGGACTTCATGAAAGTCAATAAGAAAAAGATGAGATAGGTTGGTGGGACACCTTCTTAGGAATTAAGAGCTAGTCAGAGACATATTAGAGGCAAAAACATATCATAATGATGATACTATTTACAATATCCTCTATCCTCAAATCCTCATGAATTATTTCGATTTAGAAATTTTGCAGAGATATGAGAATTGAATGTTCATCAAGCTGTTGCTAAATAAAAAAACCGGTCAAGTAGAAATGGAAACTGAATTAAAATACTGCACGTATATGTATCTGCACCTTATGACAATCCACAACTTTACTTTTGTTAGCGTATCAGTTGTACTGTAAAGTCACGTGCACAAAACAGTGAACGTTTTACTGATAACGAGTGTGTTCTAAGTGTTAAGAACTTATTTTTTTAAAAGGAAGTGATAAAGAATTGATAAGATACATTCCCACAATACTATCTGCCGTAAACTGGCTTTAACTTTGTAGATATTTCAACCAAAGCTAATGTTGAAGAAACCACTACAACTACCCACAGAATGCATCTATACATATAGTATATTAGATATATCCTGTTAAGGTTAATTTCAAGTAATTTTTTGTTGACAAAAGAGGCATCCGTTATTGAATGTAAAGATCGGCGGGAGACGCAGATAATTACTGTCAGGAACCGCGACTTGAGAACATGATTCTTTGTTGTAGAACTAAAATGAGTGCAGCATCAAAGTGAACTGGTAATTTCATTAATTACATCAAATTGGTTTCGCGAATGGCTAGATCGAGTGATAAAGTTGTTATATGTCATACAACGGAAGAAGTATTACACTTACACTCTATCTGCATCTTCACACCTAAGTTAGCTCGGAGCGTAATGGAATAAGTCGTGCAGATGTGTATCACGAATGTGAGGCTTTTCAAATTTTACCGAATTTCCTCGAAATGAGGTTGATTTTATTTGAAGTCCCGCTAATAAGAAAATGAAGATAGGCATCAGTATTACAATGCTGTATTGCCTACAATCGCTTCTACCATCCCGGACTTTTTTGTAGACCCTTTTAAGATGTACAATATTGTAGTACATCGTAGGGTTCAGCCAGCGTTTGCAATGTAAGCGCAACAAATGTGTTTATTTACGACATCGCATTAGAAACCTCTAAAATTATCAGCGTTTTCCTACTACATTATGCATGTATTATACATATAAACCTTCCTCTTGAATCACTCTAGCTTTTAAAAAAAACCGCATCAAAATCCGTTGCGTAGTTTTGAAGATTTAAGCATACATAGGGACAGACAGCGGGAAAGCGACTTTGTTTTATACTATGTAGTGATTACAAATAGCGCGCTAAACGCTATCTAAAGTATATTGCTACATTTTCTGAAATTCAGAAATGTTCAACAAGGCTCATAACGTTATCAACTAGGCGAACTAATTCCATACCGTAGCTACTTCTACGTGATAGGCATTACACCAGTAGAACTCGGTTATAGCGTCACCTTAGGAACTGGCGATATTTTAACGTAATAACCGAATATCGTAATTAACGAGGTGTACAACATATATGTTAATTATAATACACGCAGTAGATATCTGCTGAAATTGAATAATGAATAATTATCTGTTGTACATGTACAAGTTCCATGTATTTGTATGCATTAATGCTTGGAAAAAGTCCACTTTTCTTAAAAGTTAAAACGTTTTGTTTTGCACGTTTCGAAGAAAACAATTTCGGAATTCGGATTTTTCACTAACTAAACGTTTCAAGGATTTATGTTACAGTTAACATGGATGACTGATATATCTACGAGAATAATAAACAGTGCTTAAAACTTAATTCCATTGGAGACGATAATCAGTGAACCATTTCTGCGATCATACGTATAATGATGATACTTTAAGTAAGTCCTTCTAAAGAAATATAAATCAAGTCTTCATCAAAACAGTTAGATTTGTTAAGCAATTCTTCTGTTAAATTTCATTATTCTTGCTTGTAGTTAGTAGAGGATTTGTTCGTTTTCGTAGTCGTCATTTCGTCCAATGGTCCCCCTATAGGATCGATAAAACCGTTTTACATGAAAATGGCGTGTTTCGATTGGATATATACGAGCGGGGCTTTAGTGTGGCATTAGAATGCGAGGGAAGCTGACAGATCAGTTTTAGGGGCAGGCGAAGCAGTTGCGGATCAAGGTCCAAGGTTAGCTAATTGACGACATATCTCTCCCCCGTACACTGTCAGACGCGGCTTAACTTATACATATATATGCATATATGTACTTGTACGTATGTATGTATGTATGTGTCAATCTATACGGTGACGTCATCCGTTCATGATGGCTGCCATCGTCATGCAGCTGATTGTGAGTCAGGATGCGACAGTCGTCAAGGCATTCCATGAAAAATAAATCACCAACCGAATGCAGATAATGCATTTCCTAGTTGGACTAGTCTCCGATAATAAAACGTAGAATTTTTTAAATATTTCTTCTACACCCTGTATCAGGAATAGGTGTACCATCTGTATTGTTATATCTATCAAACATATCGCAGTAGGTATCGACGTTTTAATTTTTGAAAATGTCTGAAAAACTGATGTTTCGAAAAATGTACCTACCCATACTTGTTAACAATTTTATTCCTAAACCAATATAGTAAGGATGTGTTCCAAGTAATTTTACAATTAGTTGAAAATATTCATCAAAATTCATGTGTGTCGTACGAAATTGTTTTTCAAGAGTTTAGATCGTCTGACTTAAAAGGAAACGGACAATCTCTCCTGGATCATGATAATTTTCATTTTATGTTCGTTGGCCTTGTTGATATATTTTCAGATCTGTTAAAACAACAGTTTAGATTGTATTAGAAGTATTTACACACACTCAATAATGACCACTTGGAAGACTTTTGTTGTTTCTTAAATGGGACATAAATCCCTCCATCAACTGCATTACTTGTAAGAAATATTTTAAAATAGGTATTGGCCGAAGAATGCCTTTGTTAGCATTACCTAGGATTTCTTACATCATGATAGGAAAAGAAGACACCTTTTTTTTTTCATCTAATTACGTATAACTTGAGGTTATTTTCAAAGACTGCTATATTCGGTGCCCAATCCAGTTAAGCCCGAAATAATAAAATTATTGTAATTCAATAAAAAATTTCAATTTCAATGTTGTTTTCGTTTGCGCAACGTCTTTTCATGTAATAGTTGTGATAGGCGAGAAAATTATTGAATTGGTGATTTTTATAATTGATGTAAAGGAAGCCGATGAAATAGAATTGATACGCCAGGTACTTCCTGCAACTTTTAGACATGCATACCAAGAAATTTTTGTTAATCATATTAAAACGCGTAAGATTAAAAAAATACGCGATAATGGTGAAATGTTACCCTCTCTCACACCCTTTAAGTAGGCATGCCACACCCATTCGACTAAAAAACTTGGTAATCAATCCAATCAATTAATGCAATTTTTTTCTTTTAAATTAAATTTCATATCGAATACTGTACAATTCTTTAAAATTCGCGAATATGATTTTTTAATATACTTTCGACTAAGTAAATTAACGCGTACCAAGGCCATTTTGTTCGTATAATTGTCAATTATTTAAAAATTTTACAATTCCGCGATAA